AACTGTACGAAATGCTTTTAAAACGTTGCATATTTAATCAAAATAATTTCCACATAACTCTGTTTTTTGTTTATTTTTTTTAAATTCATTTTGAATTCATTTTGTCTATTATATTTCAATAAGGTTCTGCATACCTTCTACACACAGAGGGCAGGGAATTAAAAATCGCCAGGCTTGAAATTCCCAAACCAGCGTTCAATTGTTCCAACATTCGCATAGCCTCCTCCGAATGATAATTTTACATTTCCAGCAACTTTCACCGTCATATTCCCAAGTTTATACTCGTATAAAAGAATTACACGAATAGTCCTAGTATTCATAATTGTTGATAACGAGGTTCTAATGGTTCTACTCTAAACGTCTGTTGTAATTAATACACGGTATATTTATTCGTCTTTCTCAAGGTATGAGCTAAGACCTTTGAATAATGGAAGTTTCGACTTATCGAAGTTTTTGGCAGAGGTATAATGGACGAAAATTTGACACATCGAGACTTAGTTAGTCAGTTATTTAGTTTGTTAGAGTGCGTAGTCGGATGTTGTTTTTGGGCACTCGAGACAGTTTTAACAGTTGAAAAAAAGGAGATAGAGATAGCATCGAATGGTACTTCGACTTGCAGTGATCAGGCTGCTCCGAATACGAGTTTCAGAGGCAAAATAAGCCATCTAAATATATGGAAAATAATTAGAGTAGAAGTAAGATTATATCACACTAGACTATATCACTGTTGTTAATACACCAGGTAGATTCAAAACAACAAATTTTGTTAACGCGGAAACTAGTTCGCCTTGGTCCTGGCGGTCGGGGATCCTGACCGATGTCAAGGATTAAAGGCCCGATAGAAAACTAATCGATCGCAACGCGAATGCGAGGAGCCCGTAAAAGGTAAAACGGTAGGATGTTCCGTGACGGAAAGAAATCCGGTGCCGTGATTACCGGCAGACACAATCGAGGAACTGGAATCACGCTTGAACACGGTAGGACCGTTCTTTCTAATCCGCGACGAGACAAGAACCGGTCGATAAACGCGCTATATATAAGACCTCGAGTACACTGACGAGATGAGAAGGCCGAAAGGGCCGAGGAGAACAGGGTGAAACCCGCAGGCGCCTGTCCTATTTACCGTGGGTCATCAAAGTATTTGCACACTAACCTGGTCGATTGTAAGCTCACGTGTACGACTTACGTCTAGCTTTTACAATTTTCGGAATATTTGACACGTGTAATCAGTTCCACATGTAATCTATCTTCTATATCTATAGATTACAATTTTTTAAATATCTGACAAAGGGTCTAGCAGGATAAGGATAGGGAATCAAGCCTCACCCCAATTTTCGTTGCTATTATGTGCCGTGCAACACGCTTTTCACCTAAAACATCATCGGGAATAATGATCGGTTATTTAGCTGACACGTGTAAAAGTTTCAGAATGGTCGGAGTTCTGGAACATGGTTAAATAATTAAATAGGGATTTTACGCATAAACGCATGGGATTTTTGTTTCTTTTTAATTATTTAACCATGTCTCAGGACTGCGACCGTTCTGAAACTTTTACACGTGTCAGCTAAATAACCGATCATCATTCCTGACTTTTTTGGTAGATCTCACTCACAAGGTTGTTTGCAATTACCACCCGCAAAAATAAATTATTTATTTTCAATACTTAACAATGAAAAAAAATGCCCTGAAAAAATATACAAGATGCAGTTTATAAGTACGAATATTTTCGTTTTTGCAGAATTTAAATATCTGAAATAGTAACCGAAAAAAAAATAATAAAGTTAAGCGTGTTGGTAACGGTCTGAAACTTTGTGGGATGATGTTTTAGGTGAAAAGCATTGCACGGCACATAATAGCAATGAAAATTGGGTGGAGACCGATCGCCTATCCTTAACCTCCTAGACTCTTTTTCATTGAAAAGTCATTTGAATAACTTTTCGGAAATCGACGTCCTTTACAAACGTCTTAAGAAATCCAAACGAAAGAAATGTTTTTCCTTCGATTGAAATATCAATTGACACGAGCGACCGTCAAATGAACTGATATCAGGTGAAAGGTCGAGATACAAATGGATGCGTCTGAGACCAGCCGACAAGCTGAAAAAGGCGGCGCGATTGCTCGTATTCCATGAAAGAACGCCGAAACAGTATATTCTCAGGCTTGGCGCATTTTCTTTGGATCGTGGAGCAGCGGTGTTCTCCAGAGAATGTATTATTTCTCATTGGAACGCGGATCGATAATGCTCGTCTCGCTTGTATACCCTTCTGTGTGAGACACTCGTCGCATGAACAATGTGATACAACGCGTTGCGACTGATTGTCCTTCGTTCGACTGAAAGGCCTTTGTCATCGCAAGCTCTTTGCCGAATGCGAGCTTCCGGTGATATGGAATCTCGGTAGATCGAAAACGAACGAGTAATCTACGGTACCATAATTTTCTTCCGTCAATTAGGCACCATGTCAGGACTAAATATATTTTCACAAATGTTTTTTTTTTTTTTTTTTTTTTTTTTTAAGGCGGTATTACTAGTCTAGAGTATCAATTTTTAGTTCTTTTCGAGGATTTCTTTTTCTTAATCTATAAAGAATTTTTATAAAGGGTTTTGCACACATATTTCTTCACATTTTAAAACTATACACTACTTTTTTTGCAAGTAAAAATAATCAAAATTGTATGTAATACGAGTGATCTCGTACAGTGCCTTCTGAGAAAAGTATGCGAAGATCCGTTTGCTGGGCATGTACACGTTCAAACTTCACACGTGCACATATTCATGATTAGACCGAGGATTTTTATGCATTTGTAGGAAATGTAAATGTCCAAGAAACTGCAAAATGCATACAGTATGGAATAGTATAACAAAATATTGAAAGTAAAATTCATATTTATAATATTTGCAGAGTAAAATGAAATTCTATTTAGGTTCAATTTGTACGTTTGCTAAGATTTTATTTTAGAACAGTAATAGAGCAAAATGGTATACAATTCAGTGATGTAAGAAAGAAAGAAACTTCTGTGTCGCGAATCGGTGGCGATTTTCTTCAAATAAGAATATATCAGGTGACATCAAGCATTTCGACGCAGTGTTACATACGTCTTGAAAGAGAATCTTTTGCTCTTTACGATACCGCTTTTCATTCGTTTGCTTGGTTTCAATTTTGTTGATTTTTAGTCTTTGAAAGTGGAACGTCGAGTGAAGAAACGAAGAGAAGTTTATTTATGTTGTGGGGTGTCGAAACCATTATTACTTAATATTCTACACTATTATTACTTCATTATACTAATACTACACCTCATCGGGTTTGAATGCTAAGCACGCTTGATCCCATCGCTGGAAGAAATCGCAGCCGAAGCGTAGCTAACACTAAGACGACCAAGCCCAGGGTAGTTGATTTCAATATCCAATTTGTTAAGTCAATGACAAGATACTGCATACCTCGGGAGAACTCTTCCTGGGAGACTTAAAGTAAACCAACTCTGATCCCCCAAGGAGAGACAGTGACCCTCCCCGAAGGCTAGCCATAGACTGTTCCCGATCCCACTTCGCCGAGGAAAATCCGAGAATTATGTTAACTGTAAGTGGAATTACCTTCCAATGAATTTATAGAGCCGGGCTTAATTTCTAGCGTCAGCTTAACTCGCGGCGAAAGGAAAATTAGATGGGAGGAGACAGCTCTTCCATAATTTAATGCGAAGATCTGCGTTTACTCCGATGCTTTAATTCAAACCACTCGGCGCGCTTCGGCCAAGGAAAATTGAAGTTTGTTGAGAAATCGAGATTACGGTCCGACCGTTGCCAAGAACGAAACTGTGAACGTCGTTGATTATTTCAGTTCTGTGTGCAAAGTTTTTTTTTTTTTTTTTAAGAATGTGTTTGTAACAATTTTGAATATCGAAAAATGGAGATGTTCACTAAAGAAACTTAAATGAAAGGTTTTGGGAAGAAATCGCTAGGAAATCATTGAGGGCCCCTGTGGGCTCCACATTGGGAAACGCTGGCTTGAGAGGTTCTGAAAACTCGGAACTGTAAGAAGCCGCAAGGAAAACCTAAGAAGAAATTGAAAACATGCAACAAATGCAAAACGTTCGGTTACATAGCGACTGGTGTTTGCTAATAGTTTGAAATTGCCAGGACAGCAAGAAATATCTCGATACGGGAAAATAACTACTCGCGGCAATTGAACAGTGCTTACCGAGCGCGTGTCGTAACTACGTTGTACTTTACAGAGAATTATCTCGGGTCTTTTCCGATGACGCAATCCGGTTAAGTTTCGAAACTAAATAAACCGCACTTTCAGCGGCCATTAAATGACGCGAGAGTTCATTTTTAACTGCTTACGGGGATGAGAAAGAAGCGGAAAATTAAGTTCGTCAGCTCTTCCCGCGATCGCTTTACCAGCGCTCATTATGAAATGAATTTAAAATACAATTCAATTTAATCCGCTCAGGTACCTACTACTTCAATATTCACCGCTTTTTCTGTTTTTTTCTTTTTGTCCCACCGCGCATAATCTGATTAAGGATAAATCGTGGCTTTTTTGGAGGGATACGGTATAATTCGCGTATTAATAAATTTGCATTAATTACGAAGGCAAATTTATCGTCGAAATACGATTGCGATAATTGCGAGTAGGAAACTGTGCTGTTTGCAGAAAAATGGTAAATTATGTGGAACGAACGCTAGCGATGCTCTTATAAATTATCGAACGAACGCGAATGAAGCGATGATTATTCGGTATGATACTGATATATTTCGTAACGTTTTCATTTAAATAACGCGAGATGTATTCAACGTTATTTTGGAACGTCGCTTGGATTATCGAAGTTGTAATTTTTGCGAAAGCGATGATTAATATTCGCAGGTAAGTTGCGTATCGCGCAACGAAGAACGAAGCTCATGGTATTTTAATTGAGGTCAACTTTTAGTAGGTTACGTAGGCGACGTTGTACGATTCTGAAAATAAAATAATTTATGTTCGTGTTACATTTCAAGTGCTTACCGGATTCACAAATCGGTGTGGTCTTCAGACGGGGATTCCACGTTTGTTATCTGAAACAACGACAGAAGTAACAATGAGAATTAATGCTTTGACTGCGAAGGGCGTATATATACGCCTTCGAGAAATGTGCTCGGAGAAATGTTTTGTATTCGTTAAATCAACTTTGAAAAAATATCAAATTATAGGAGATGGATGAGACGAAACTTTTTTATATTTACAGTTTAATCATAGGATACTTAGTTTCGAAAATAAAAATTGAAGAGTTGGAAGTTCGCTGGAAAACTTAAATTTCAGGAAAAAGGTCTCGTAAGTTTTCAATTTTTATCTCTGAAACTGGACGTCGTATGAATAAACTCTAAATATAGAAAAAGTTGCGTCTTATCATATCCTATAAGCTGATATTTTTTTTTTTTAAATTCACATCTCCACGCCTCTTAGAATTTCTAGCAAAAATCGTCCCGCAGTCAAAGGGTTCATGCTTTCAGTATACCATTTCGTAGTATATGCCATTGGATTAGAATAAGAGTGACGATTCGAAGTGTAGACATTTTTCAGAACAGACATTTCAAAGTAAATCTTACAATAGGATTCGTAAAAATACTTTTTTCATCGAGATAAAATAAAGAATACTTACGAGTACCGAGTATAATTGCGAAAGGAGACAATTAACGTAGATGAAAACGAGTAGATTACAAAGGATATTATTCAATTACTTATACAAGTCTAGGACGTATTAACGGGAAATAAATGACACAAACAACGTTTTGCGTTTAAATCGTCTCTCGTGGTTATGGAAATTTATGACTGCCTCATAAATATCAAGGGCTCGTATAAATCCTGACGGAGTACCATTAGAAATGCTTCGGAGCATCGTTTAATTCAACTTCCCCGGCGGATTTTATTAAATATTTTCTCGACAGACCGCACGAAGTCTAAGTATTCGGATGGCAATTGATTCGCGAACGTCAAAGGTAATTTACCGTATTCAAGAAACGCGCGCTGAAAGACGTAATCTGCCTTTGGATTTACTCTATTCTATTCTGGGGAGGGAAGAGCGGTCTGCTCGATCGCGACGAGTGGAATATTCTGCCGATAATACGGACTCGTTCCGTTCGTAATATTTTTCATAATGGCCGGGGAACATTTTTCATCGCTGCGAGTATTCGCAATGAGACAAATCACGCGACAAGGTTTATACAAGCGAAGACGACAGCACAAAGAACGAGCGATCGGTATCCGAAGAAATTCCATTGAAAGGAACAGATACGAGTGATTAATAGCCGAAACGTATCTTCGATCGGCAAACAGTTCGCTAAGCATCTTTCTCGAAATTTCGTTGCGAATTTTTAAATGAAACTCGACGATCATCGACGTCGTTTCGAGAGCGGTACTCGTCACGATGTTGAAGTCAATTGGGATCCCATTGCACGAATTATATTCCACAAGTCTGCGGTTTCGTCGTGGCTACTACTTTTGAAGAGAAAATGAGATAATTGTGTCGGTCATCGACTGGTACAGCGGGTTTCGCTTAACTTTAACACGATTGAGTAAATAGAAAAAGAATAATAGAGGGCGAAGTTAAATAACGCAGTATTCAAAGTGCCGCCATTTTTCTTTAGGATATCCTATTAAAACAGTTGCATATATTATATATAATATATAATATTATTGTATAATATTTTATCTTCCGGCAAAATTCCCATAAAAATGCGCGCCACACGAGGCAACTGCGAATATCGTTTTAGCGCGTATCTCATGTTTCGAGTTCCCTCGAGTACCGTAGAAGTTCTTTCTACAAATTTGATGCAGTTTGAAGCAGCAGCAGATACCGAAAGAATTCGCGAGAGCAAATCTAAAAGAAAGAAACCACAAGAAACATTCGAGTTTTCAATTTCCCGAGTACACACAAACGTGTAGGTGGACTTTATACACATTCTCCACAGATAGTCCTCGCGATTTCGATCAAGGTATCGAACGTGCCATCTCCTTCCATTAATTTCTCCGTTTAGCTTACTTTGAGACGAACGCGTCTCTTAAAAGAAGAATTTTACTGTAATGTTGTGTTTTAAAGAAAGAAGTTCTACAAACAAAACTAACAAATTTGTTTAAGGTAATGGAGAAGATTCAGCAATTGCTTTACTGTTATTAGATACACTTGACTTTCTATCGATCCACTTTAAATGCACAGTTAGTAAAATCAGAGTGGTAATTCATACCACGATTCAAGTTTCAAGTAACTTCAAACATCTTGAAACTCCTGAATACCTTCAAAGTCGCGAACGTTTAAAGATACTTTAGAAACGTTGAAAACTTGAAACACATCACTTTAGAATCTTCAGGAACGTAATTAACCAATTTGCAAATTAACCTCATCATTGTTTGTATTGATTTACTGCATTTTTCGCATTTCACGCAGTGCTTGTATTTCTATAAAAATAAACTACGCGAGGTACTTCGTGCTTGTTTTGCAAAATAATATTAATGTCTCTCAAGTCTATGCTCAAAGTACGCATTAACATGCTTCAACTGAGCGTGACTCAAAAACGTGAAAGATGTTTAAGTATCTGGCGTATTTTGTTTGTGAAAAAATAGTAGTCCTGAAACCCCTTTTGGAAAACCTTTTGTCTGCCTGAACGTGCACTCTAAATAATACATTGATCGGACGAGGCAATTTCTATACTACTCTCGTAGATTTCTCTGGACTAGAACTACATTTCGATGTAAAAATTCACGAGGCAAGCACAAGTCCCTTGCTACGTCATGTGTAGATACAATTCTGCACGCAAACCGTCCGACAGCGAAGCGAACGCGTTGTGTCTTATTGGTTTCTTATGTTAAAATAAACCATATATAATGGTACGCAACGTTTGGAAACGAAATTGTAGGACGCACGTGTCGTTTCGGAATTTCATACTCTTCCTTCCTATTATTTACGACATAACAGAATACGCGGGAAAAAGAAAGGGGCAACAGTCGGAGAGCATTGAAGTACGCGGGGATGAGGACGGGAGGGTAGTAGCTTATGATGAAATCGAATTTTCTTCAGTCGGACGGAAAACAAACTAGAGGGAACAAAGAGAATACCTTCTTCTGACAGGAATAATTTTGTATCGACTACGTCTGCTGGCATGGTAGTTTTCCGACGGTTCTGAATAATTCACTGTAAATCGGTTCGTTCCGTCGATACGTCATGCAATTTGTAATATTGCTCTTTGGAATTTCGTGGCGTCGCGGCTTAATAGCTTGCCATTGTTTTCCGTTTCGTACATGATCCCATAAAATACTACTTACGAAGAACGAATACTGTAATCAACGCTCGATCAAACCTTTGGCTTCTAAAGTGCCTTTCTCCTGTGACTCATTCAACATTTTTTTTTTATACGTATTTCTCTTATACATTTTAGCAAACTATTTGAATACATCGACAGAAGCTATTTTAACGTTAATATAAATCGATAAATAAATTGTATAGAACTCGCGCAAAAATATTTTTGTACACTTCCTGAATAATAGTATTATTAGTAGACAAAATTTAGGAATCGCTCTTTATTTAATAATATTTAGTAATATTTAATACTAATTTTTAATAAGTAACTGGCACGTTTCTCTTTCTAACGTAGTCGTAATATAGGGTAACACCCTATATTATAGGATGGCCATATTAGAAACGGTCTATCGAATCAAGCGTCCGGTTGTACAGACACTGTATGTAAATCAGTGATTCACGATCACTCGAACGAAACTTAAAAAACCCGTTTCCAAAGTGTCTCAATTAGAACTGGATTCGTTACATCGCGGAAGTCGGGCACAATTTGTAACCATCGCATTGGCCGATATCCTAATCCAATTATTTCAACCTTATGCTACGTTCACGTGTACTTTACGCGACGTGTACAGATTAACGTAAAAGCAAATCGAATGTTAACTGAATTCATATCCATAGAATGTTTTTTTTTTTTATCCCATGTTCGTAATTAGTTCCTCTTTCATCCGCTTAAATCCACAAAATTACGGAGAAGTCAGACCAAACCAGTTTATTCGTTAGAATTAATTATGGTAATACCTACGCCATACTTAAATCACACTTTCGCGGGCTCGTAGGTGAAGCTTGTGTTACACCGTCGGTGCGCGTAGTGGATGCAAACAAGATTAAAACATCGTCCACGCGAAACGCGAATATGCATTTTTCCTGTATTAAACATAAAGAATGGGAGGCGCAACGTGTCCGTTCCAGTCGTAATTCATTTTATATTTCCTCTGTTTCCCGTTAACCACCACGTATGGCCAGACGTTGTAATATCACAAACGCAAACGTCCACCGGCCGCGATTCGCGAAAGCGTAACCTAATTTCCTCCTGTCCTTAATTTTTGCCTTTTATTTTTTCGAAACAATCTCTGGCCAACGCAACACACTCTGTGGATTCGTCTCGACCCGGCCTCTCTCTATTTCCGTAGAGCCAGCTTTTTCTCGTGTAGGGGTCGCAGCGTTCGGAATTCAGCGAAAATTATTTCGAATGAATGGTTTTGAAACTCAGCCAGAATTGCAGACCAACTTTTCTACGAAGAAGTTTAATTAGTGGAGAGAGAGAAAGAGAGAGAGAGAGCGTTTATACAAATTTACTGATTTTTGTGCGTTAGAAAGAGACTGGATATAACTGATGGATATAGCTGTGTTTATACGCGAACTGTAACTTTAGTTGCTGGATAAAACTTTGCGAGCAGGTCAAGAATAATTTCCTTAATGATAGTATCATCGATAATTAGGCGATCTCGTTGAGTAAAGCTTGTGAAACGGGAAGCGGCATACGTTACAGGACACATCATAGTAACAGCTTGAAGATAGATTCACTTTTCGAGAATTTCTTTCGAACGAACAACGCAAGTGAATCGATTTATTGCTTATTACTGACAACGTATACATATTGAACATTATAAGAAATCACTTTTCAATACAGTTTATTCATTTATATCTGCTGTACTCGTTCTCATAATGTGCATTGCATATGCTACGTGAAAAGTGTTTTACAAATAAACAAAATGTTTTGAAAAC